AAAAAAAAAAAAATCGGTTTTGGGTGAACTATTCCTTTAACCATATATTCTGTTCTTCTCTGTAGGTGTATATAGCAGCATTTGCTGTATCTGCATATGCGTGTTCGTTCACTAGAGCAGGAGGAAAACCGTTTAATCCTATACTGGGAGAGACATACGAGTGTCTCCGGCCAGATAAGGGCTTCCGCTTCATTGCTGAACAGGTAAGCATGCACATTTCTTTTATTTCTACCAAAACACAAAGGTATGCACGCTCGCATGAGCAGTTACATTGTGTACCTCAGGTCAGTCACCATCCACCTGTGTCCACTTGTCACTGCGAGTCCAAAAACTACACATTTTGGCAAGGTAAGTGAAGCACACTTGGCTAGTGTCAAGCCTTTTAGCATTTAACATGATTTTAATGTCTATCTCTGTATGCCCATTAGATGTCCGGTGGAAGAATAAGTTTTGGGGAAAATCCATGGAAATCGTTCCCATGGGATTTACTCACTTAGAGCTGCCAGGGTGATTTAATTTTATCCTGAATTGTTCTGATTCCCATTCGCTTCCATTATTCCATCCTGCACTCTCCACCATATCTCAGTATCTCTCTGTCTCGCTTTCTTTGATCCATTCGCTCATTCTCAGTTTTGGGGATCGTTACGAGTGGAGTAAAGTCACTTCATGCATTCATAACATTCTGAGCGGTCAGCGCTGGATCGAGCACTATGGGGAAATGTCTATCAAACACTCTACCACCATGGGAGACGTCAGTCATTGCAAAGTCACTTTCCTTAAGGTGGGGCCATCAAGACATGCAAAAAAGGCTTTAATTCCATATATACTGTATGTGTGTGCATCTGTGTTCATCTTGCCCACATCTTCCTCTTGTGGAATAACTTTGACCAAATTTTCTTTTTATGAATGATTACTTATGATTTGTTTACTGCATGTCTTGCATGCAGTCCAGATCTGGAGGTCTGAATGCTAATGAGGTAGAGGGTATGGTCACTGATTCAGATGGGCGTGTCATTCACTCTCTGTTTGGCAAATGGAGCGAGGCCTTGTATCTGGGCAAACCACCTTCGGTAACCTGCATCTGGAGAGCAAGTGAGTCTCAGACCAGTCCAGAAGAGTCTGTTTCGCTGTATTTGAATGGTTCAAACATCTAACTTACTGTATATTCATTGTTTTGTCTCAGATGTATTTGTGGATAATGACCTCAAGAGGGCGCTAACACAGCACCGTTTTTGTCTCTGTATGTGTGCATAATATAGATCCCATGCCTGAGGACCATGAGCAGTACTATGGATTCACCCAGTTTGCAACTGAGTTAAATGAATTGGAGGAGGGTTTAAAGCCACTCTTGCCTCTGACAGACACCCGTTTTAGACCAGACCAAAGGTATAGACATATGAATTATGCATCTATGCTGTCCCAAAGTGAATTTTTCACATTATTAAAACCAGTTTTATATGCTCTTGGGTACTTATTGGTCCGCTTTTTGTTAGATTACTTGAAGAGGGTGATATTGCTGGAGCAGAAGAACAGAAAGAAAGAATTGAAGTCCTCCAAAGAGAGAGGAGGAGAGTCCTGCAAGAAAACAGCATGACACACTCGCCCCGATTTTTCAAGTAAGTGACTCTTATGAACACAAAGATGCAGCTGTTTTGGGTGCGTCACGAGTTTCGGTTCATAATTCTGTTTCTATAATTCAATCAGACGTGCTGAAGATGACTCTTGGGTGAGCAATGGCACTTACTGGGACCTCAGGAAGGACCCTGGATTCAGCAAACAAGAATTCCCTGTGCTCTGGTGACCACCAGTGGATTAGTCATTGACTTTTCCCTTTCTGCTCTGGCTGTATATAGATCCCTGCTTACTTGTTATTTGTATGCAATCCTGCTGAACACTGTGGCATTTAATTTACTATGCTTATGTGGATGTTTTTGTATTGGTATTTATCTTTGTTAAACAGACACATTTACAGCACGAGATAGAAAGTACCTCTGGAAAGACGTTTATGCCTTTATGCCTAGTTGATGTTTAGATGCAAATGCACTGACCAATGACATTTGTACGTGTCTGGATGTAATTAGTTTATTATTAATTAATCAAGTCAATTTAAAAAAAAAAANAAAAAAAAAAATCCTCAAATCGAATCAATTAAAATAAATGACACAATATTAAGACAATATTAAGATTTAGAATCTTAAAGAACAAACACTAAAGTTCACTCTAAAATTAAAAAAAAATTATTTTGTAAATTAAGCCTATATTTTGGACCATTATAGGTTTTTTGCATTATGACATTATTTTTTTATTATCATTCTCATTACTGTAACGTGAAAAAGATGATGTATTTCAATTGTAAAGTGTTTATACAACATGGTAGTATTTGTTATACTACTTTTCATTGTTTTTCTTTTTAAATAAGCACGACATTATATTAAAAAAGTATTACAGTAATGAGAATTTAGGTTACTTATTTGTCATGCAAATAATGTCAACTGGCAAATAAAAAAAATCTAAGTCCTAAAAATAGGCTTGATGTTCTTTTATACAAAATATAATTTCTTATTTTGTTTTATGAAATAGTAATTGAGTTCTTTTGAGTGACCTGGGCTATAAACGTTTGAAAGTCACAATTCATCCATTGCTGACTCAGTCACTCCACTTTATAATCAGGGAATATAGAAATCAAAAACTATACCCATAAATATTTGTGCACCTACTACAATCATGATTTATGCATATTTAAAAGGATCTTTCTTAAATTCGTTAATAATAGAAAACTAATATAAC